TCTTATTTTAGTTTTCCTTGTCCCTCAGAGTCCTTGGCTGGGCCACATAACTGCCAGCGACACTGTAAAAGGTGTGAGGGTTCCATCAAATCTAGACATCCCAGGCTGACATCGTTACTGTGAAAGAATTCATACTCCTTCTACACTCCTGGATAGGAAATGTGTGTAAATAGAATGAAGCAATATCCATATCATCAAGAGCACACTTCCAAAAGCGACAACAGTGTTTAGGCTGCTCTGAAAAATGATGTATCTGCCTGGAAACTTCCAATACGCTGAACAGCCTGTGACAGTGCACATTCCTGGTGCTGATCACGACAGTGTCAGAAACGCCACATCAAATGGCATGCTGTCTCAAAGCATAGCAATTACCGTATATACTCGTGTATACGCCGAGTTTTACAGCACGTTTTTTTATGCAGTTTTTGTGGTAAAATTAGGTGCCTCGGCTGATATTTGGGTCGGCTTATCCTCAAATATATATGGTATATGAAAAGAAAAAAGGCCCTAAAATCATGGGACTGTCCCAAAGATTGGGGACAAATTATGTTTTGTTAGTAAAGGACAGCATCTGTAGTTGAATTAGCAAAAAATAAAAATTACACAAATGGGTAGTTAAAGCAAACGTGAACTTACAAGTAGTGAAACTCAAGGGATCTGTCCAACCTTCACCTCCCATGCATTTTTCCACCTGCCTTTAATTCATTGTCTCATTTTAATTCTGTTTACTGATGGTGTATTTATTCTGCATGCTGATAATGAATTTTCCATTATAACCAGCAGAGGGAGGTATGTGGAAGTATAACAAATAATTCTTACCTTTCTGCACTGTTTTCTACACTGATACCTCCAAGTCTTGTTACTCGCCTACGGTTTTGATTTGTATTGCCATGAAGTGCTCAACAAGCACATTAGTTCCTGGTTGCTGTTAAACACCATCCAGTTGGTTCCTACTCATAGCAGCCCCGTGTACAGTGTAACTAAAGGTTGCTCACTCCTACACTGCCTTACAATAGTTGCCGTGTTTGAGCCCCTGGTGACAGGTACTGTGGCAACCCATCTTGCTTAGGGTCTATTTTACCAAGTATGATGATGTCCCCTCCAGGGACTGAATGCTCCTGATAGCATGTCCAAGCTCTTGAACGTGAGTCGAAGCTTCCCTATCCTTTTACTAATCTAAGGAGAATTCAGGCTATACTTTGTCCAAGAGAGAATATTGATTGTGTTTGTGGTCCATGGTATAGTTTCTTAGAAGTAATGGGCTGGTTACATCGTAATGTCTTTTTTGTAATGGAGAAAATTTGGAGTGGTTTAAAAATAGATTATAGTAAAGTAAAATTTGATAGTGTTTGATGCATAGGTTAGAAATTCATTTGACTGCTCATTTGGGCAGCTTTTTAACCTGGTCAGTTCCCTGATTTGTAGAATAGAGAACACGTGCTGAATACTTGCTATTATTAATTGTGGACTCTAGTTGAAACTAGTGCCTACCTGAGCAGAAAGTATTCTTTATCTAATTTTTAGTCAGGAGTGTGAGGTTTGTATAGTCTTTTTCACCACTTGTCTATTTAATTACTCAATTCTTTACAAGCAAAAGTAATTTTTAAAAATTATTTTATTGGGGGCTCAT